AGTTTGACAGGTATGGGACACCTGGGTGACATAATGTTCAGTATCTTCTAACACTTCCTGGTTGTTGGTGATGATGAATTTTTTTCACACCTAAAACATGGTGGTCATTTGGTGAGATATGTTTTTGATTCAGGAAAACCTGGAATGAAATCTGGGATTCTACAAGTGACGACGCGAGAACATGGAGTCTTACATGCAACTTACCTCATAACAACACACACATGAAATACTGGATTAATGTCAAACACTGTGGCTTCATGATTTGCACCCGTGCTGTTAGTGCAGATGTGGAGATGGAGTGAACCACGTCAGGCGCTTTTACAATGAGACATGCCACCATGCGAACAGAGATCGGGGCTTAGAAAAGAGAGAGAGAGTCACCTCCTCTTCCTGCTCCTCTCTTTATCACTCTGAGGTCAATCAGAAACTCATTCTGCTGGAGGACTGAGAAAGCATGAAGATGGTGGACGGCTCCACGGTAAGGCACGGGCGAGCGGACTGCAGATGTCACGAGAGAGTGAGCAAATAAGTGGGTGAGTCAGTGGGTGAGTGAGGGCAAAGTGGGAGCCACAGACGCACAGTGAAGAGGTAAATGAAGGAAGAGGAGAGAAGATGAAGAGAGAGAGAAGGGGAGAAAAGGATGTTGATGGCAGTGAGGATATGTCATTGAAGGGTGAAAACAAGAGGAACAAAAGGAGGAACAATGGTGTGAATTTTGATTAAGGAGGTCCATTAGAATGCAGTGACAAGGGAGAGAGGGAGAAGAAAGAGCACAAGAAGAAGAAATCTGTCAGACCTGTCATTGAGTTTTATATTCATGGCAGCACTGGCTTCATGGGACGAGGGGGCGAATCCACAGAGAACAGGAAGTGGCATTAAATCATGAAGATCCACTGAGATTATAGTGGGTTTAATAGTCTTTCTTAAAGGGTAAGAGAGTGGAAACCATTTGATTCTCACTCGTAAAGATTTAATTTTATCAGATTTAAAAATAAAATGTCAGTGTTTTCTATATATTTATGATAATAAAAGCTCATTTGAGTTTAATTCAAATTGAAACAAACAAAAATATTACATTTTTGTATAGGTACAATTCTGAATTGATCAAATCTAATATTTAATGGGCCCCACGCCACTTCGTACTATATATTGGACTTCACGATTAAAAGGACTTCACGATTAAACCAGGGTTTTTTTAACCCCTGGTTTATGTCACGTCAACATGCCAAAGACACATCAGGATAGATATTATAAAAGATAATCTGGTAAAGTTGATGACAAAAAACGAGAAAATATCAAGTGAGCCCCAGTTCTGTGGGCAAAGAATGGACAGAGGAAGAGTAACCACACTGTTGTAGTCTGATGAGAAGGCAATAGTTTGGTGAATAACCACTGGTCAAAACCACATAATGCCTAACATCGAGTTGAATCCATGCTACTAAGAATTCGGGGACAAACATTGGTTCTACTCATCTATTGGATCATAAAGTGGTTGAAATGTGAAATCTGCGGTTTCACCAACACCTACCTGTGCACGTTCAGTGGCCGTGGGACACATCGACCTGCACAGCACCTTCTTGATAACATCTGGCAACAAGCTCACTGTAATAAGTAAGATGATACTGAGCCAGGCTGGGCCACTGGACAACATCTGCATGAAAACGTAGTACATCCTCTGGTAGTTCAGGAAAGGCCTGGAAAAAGACAGGGAACAGAAACAAACCTGTTTTCTAAGGATTGCTGCAATTATTGACAAGCCAACAAAAAAAGGGGTACTGACCATATGATGCCCCCCCAGAGAAGAGAGAAAATGACGTAGAAAAGCAGAGATCCCCAGATGAAAAAGTGATTGATCCAGGTCCAGTGGTGTGTGTCCAAGGCCAGCTGAAAACACACAACAACACACACAGTACAGCAGACAGTCAACGAGTCAATGAAATCATCGGCTCATAGCCTCAGAGCTGCAACTGTTGTACAAACCAGCAATGTCGATAATTATATCACACAACACTGTTGTCGACAGGGCCACTGTGAGGGTGGGTATATGTGTGTGTGTCCACGTACCTTGAGTGTAACAGTGAAAACCAGCACAGTGAAGACAAGTGTCCCAAAAGTCCAGTTCCCAAACATCTGGAGAGAGAAGGAAGTAAAAAAAAGATTTAATCACATTCAGTATAAATTAGTGACACAGAACTGCCCTTAGGAATTAGTGAAGATCCCACACTACTGTAGGTGCTGTCGTTATAGGACCACAGTAATAGTCAGTAATGTAGTATTACTCAGTAGCACAGTGACTCTTTATAATGTTTAAACAACTAAATATCCTAGGTATAACATTATTTTTAAATTATTTATGTTAGTTTCTATTGTTTTTTTTCCTGCAGATCCAGCAGAGGGCAGTCTAAACACATTATAGATCCTTATGTGTTTTTTTATTCCATGTAAGTCTTTTTCACTAACTATTGTCTCTGTGACTGCAAACGATGACAATAAAGGACCGATAGCACACAGTTCCAGCGCAGACTAGTTTGTTATGTTAGGTCAGCATGTTAACAGTCACCTGTTATATTATGGTTTTAGGTATGGTAGGTGTATGGTTGTATGTGGCTACTATTTTACATCCAAGAAAAGGTTCATATGTTGTTTTTTTTAATTAATGTTCACCATTCAGTCACATCTATTCAACTATAGAAATAATCTGAAGACATATTTAAAAAGTTTTTTAAATTCTTTTGCGTTTTCTTATCTAAACAATACAATTACTACACGTATTCATTTACATGAATTCCTGGAGCAATGACATTGGACAGGGACTAAACTACTACCATGAACAAACAAAGGCACACATACAAATGCACAAAGACATTGCACAAAAAGAACAAACAGATGTTGGACCTTAGTCTCTAAAATTAGTTTTCTTGACGGGAACAGACAGGAGTAATGTTGGGGAGTATCTACGATCTCTACTTTAAGTGGAGTTGTTAGGGTCAGTTGGTGCGAGATTCATGATAGACACAGATTAAGGGAAAGCATGGAGGACTATTAGAACTACACATTCAGATGAAAGTGCATGAGTGACGAAGCGCGATAAGGGATGAAACTCGGTGAAACTGTAAAACTGAAGAGAAAACGGTACGACAGAAACTCAAAGAGCGACAGATAGAGCTGACAGGGAGGGAGACAGGCTTACCATCTGTGTGTTGGTAGTCATAAGCTGGGGACGCAAAAAAGAAGAAAAGAGGGGGAAAAAGAGCAAAATAAAGAGAGGAAGCAGAGAGAATAAGGGAGGAAGAAGAGAGAAAATAATCAGGACAAAAGGTAAAAATGAATCTCAGAATGTTTCAACTTAAAAAACAAGACCGGAGGCAATCCAAAACACTTGACGTGGTACAAATCAACAGTACAGAGAAAGATGCTACAGCGTAGTCGTTATGGATGAAGATCCAATGTTACTGACGCCTTACTGTAACGGATATTTAACGTCATCTTTCATGAGAGTCCAATGGAGATGGATGAATGTTCCGTGAAGACTGCTCCTCCTATAAACCTGTTACCTTGTAACTTCTACAGAACAAACCGCAAACTCGCTTTTTTCTTTCTAACTGCAGAGAACGATATAAACTGAATGCTGCTGAAGCTCACCTGGCCGTTGCTGGTGAAGGTGGTGTTGTCAAACAGGAAGTAGGCACCGAAGAAGAAGATAACAGCATCAAACACACCTAGACATGTCCAGTACAAGAAGACGGGCCAACGCAGGAGAGAGTTCTTCGCTATGTCCCTTCAAAAAGAAAAGAATAAAAAGGTTGAGTTGTTTTTTTTTAAATCACTGAGAAGACAGTGTTGACAACATTTATGGTGACGAAGACCTTTGTTTGTCCATCTCACCTGTACAATGTTGGCTCCCTCTTCAGTGTCTCCATGCTGACGTGCTGCTCCACCAGGCTGTAGAGGAGGATTGGGAGCGAAGTGAAGCTTATATTGTACAACGTCAAGTAGGCGGTGTCATAAAGTGGCTGCAAAGAGGAGAACATTAAGAAAGATTAAGAATAAATATTAAGTCGATTAAAAAATGTTTTCCTCGTTTGGCCACTTGAGGGCAGCCACAAGCTAGAAATCACTGCTTGAAATAGTTGACCAAAAGTATGTAAAAACAACATTATTGCCAAATACATATTTCCTTTCAGTCAGGATAAAACAAAACCACAAGGTTTAACAGCAGGGTTACTCAAACTCCCAACCCAGGGACCACGTCTGGTCGATGAGCCCCAACACAGGGCCTATGAATAGTTATAGTCATTATTATTACATTTTGTACTAAAGGTATTTATTTCATTTTTATCCATTCATTTACATTTAAAATTGGTGATTGGTTTAATTGGTTAGAAAATAAGAAAATGTATTACTTTCCAACCTGAAATTACTACAAACTAAACATTGATCACTTTGAGACTGAAAGCATTAACATTTATTTTGAGAAATAACAAAATTTGAAGATGTTATATATAGGATTTAGGTTTACAACACAATCAAGTGACTGTTATCTGCCAGGTTTAAAAGGAATACATAACAACACCAACAAAATAAGAATAATTACTTCATTTGACAATTTTGTACACTAACACACAGGACAGTGCTAATTTTGGTGTACACTGTAGTAATTTCGTTACACAACTTAAAACACTTACCTGTTGGGAGAAGCCACAGAAAAACTGATAGAGGAACTGAGGAAAGATGAAGCACACATTCTAAGGGGAAAAAAATGGATGGAGATTAACGCTTATGAAATGTCCACATGATTTTTTTTTTTTAAATGCTACTATTCACACATTTCTGGTTGTGCTCTAAGCTCAGTGAGTGGGTTGCACAGAAATGGCCTGCCAAAATATTGGAAAACAAAAAAGGGCAGTGTTGGCAGGACAGTGAATTCTGTGAAAGCCTCCTACACTGATCCTGATGCTCATGAATCTAGGACAGAGTGTTGCACCAGGGTTTCATGTATTCAGTAAATCTGTCAGCGCTAACAGAAAATCTCATTTTCTGTGCAGTTTCAAAATGTGTCATCCGACGGAACATTCGGTGTAGTTACCTTGTAGAAGAAGTACTGAACGAGCTCAGCGATTCTGATGTAGTAGTAGTGACCATGAACGAGCAGGATCTTTTTCAGGTGTTTGAACTTAGGAATGGCGTAGTCACTGTTTCTTGCTGCCTGTCGGCCCTCCTTACCCATGATGCCTGAGAAAACAACAGTTTTTATGAACTTAAATCTGATCAGGACACTAGCCTAGGTCTAATCCCTATGTTTCTATTTGAAGATTTCTGAAAACACACAAATATCTTTTTATCCATTTGTTAATATAACATGTGTCCCGTCACTGGCCGGAAGAGGGCGCTTTGAACCCTAATGAATGTATGAAATGCTTCGCCATCCATCATAAAAGAGCTAACTGAAACTGTTAATGTTGAAAAAGCACATATATTTATATAAATCTAATTTTTAAACTATTTTAATTTATTTAATTATTTTGACATTAGTTCATCACAGTTAAAATGTCATATTAGCTTCTTTAGTAATAGCTTAAAAAGAAAATCAAAACCCTGGCTCCAACAGACGTTCATTAATAACTCACCAATGCCCACGTGTGCTTCCAGTATCATACTGACATCATTGGCTCCGTCACCAATGGCGAGTGTTATGGGATGCTCTTTGGAAGCCTTGATCAGTTTCACAATCTGCAGAAAAAAAAAACATATATAAACAATCATTACCATTGTTTGTCATTTGTCAACATGACTGGAGTAAAACTAAAGTAAATCAAGGCAGTTCAGTCACCTGTGCTTTCTGCAGTGGCGCCATCCGACAACAGAGGACAGCACTGCAGTTACGACAGATTTCCAGAAAGATCTCTCTGTAGTTTCCGTTCCCGGCGCCTTCCTGGTTCGGTTTTAATACAGCAGAGAGCGTGGCCCCGTCAATGATCAGACCAAAGTCAAGGCAATCCACTGACAACCTGGAAACATAAGTGACCAATTACCCAACAAATACAAAATAAACATAGCCAAACTATGCAGACTGAAACTTAAAGTAGTATCTAAAGGTTAGGTGGGAAAATGTCTGGATGTTATATTAAATAAAGTAAATGTTATGAGGTTAAACATGAATTACTTAACAAATAGCCAAAACGCTAGCCTAGAGTTAATTGCTAAAGGCAATACAAAAGCTTATAAGATGAAAAGAAAGAAAGAAAGAAAAGAATTTGAACCAAAAAAGGCAAAAACAGAGGTAGAACAAGTTCAACACAAGTACAAAGATTACATCGATGAAAACATTTCCCTTTCAGCAGAAATAGGGAAGGCCATTGAAACCTGCACTTTTGGACAAAGGACATACTCGGCCTTTGTCTTCTTCTAAAATAAAATAAATGCTGCTGTATGTAACAAAAGGATCCACAGCATTGATCTGCACATGGATGGTTTCATACCCAGACATGGAGCGTTGTCTGATGACGGTCCTGTTCAGCTCAAACAGAACATCGTGCAGACTCTGCTCCTCCGTGCGTTTCTTCGTCAGCTCCAGTATCTGTGTACTCCTGCGGAACAGCTTGCTAGCATAGCAGGTAGCTGCCGCCGTCTCCATCTTGTCTCCGGTGAGGACCCACACCTTCATCCCAGCCTTGTGCAGGGACTCGATGGTATCCGCTGCTTTCTCCTGGAGCCTGAGCATCAATAAATCAATCAGTGTGTCAGCCTCCGTTACAGCAAGTTCCAGCATCTTCCAATTAGTAGCCTGGTGACAAATTATCACGGCATGGTCAACGATTGCATTGTTAAACACCAGTTGGTCTACTTGGACATCAATCTGTCCATCAGTCAGTATCAGTAATGAACTATAACTAGTGTGTGTTAGGATAGATACATTTGACACCAAATGGCCAGGCTTATTAATCGTGTATATATATATACGTGACCTCAAAAAGTCAGGTATATAATTATAGCCAAAAATATGTGAATGGAAACAAAACTGTAAATACTAAGAAATAAATGGCAAATTCAATAATTACCCAAATATGTCAGACTGAGTTCAGAGCAAATATCTTACCTGAGGATAAATATACAGCTTTAAACTGCAAAGTTAAAATAGAAGCAAAAACAATAATAATAATAAAGTACTGGCTAAGCCCAATCTAACCCCTAATTTACAGACATTTTGTTTTGTTTTTCTGCTAATTTTTATCTAACCTTACTTTTTCCTAGGACAGTGAAATGATCAGTTTTTTAAGTTTTAAGATAATCCAACACATTGTGCACTTCAGGAGATATGTTGTATGTCCTTCTTCCTGTTACCCACCTGTCCTCAACAGCCGTGGCCCCCAAAAGCACAAATTCCCTCTCAATGATGTCATACGCATGCGCCAGCCTCTGCTCCCTGTCCTGCAGGGCCAGTTTGGCTTCGGTCAGGTGATGACAAGCCTCCTGGTATTCAGACTCTGACAGCTTTTTATAGGCAACACACAGAGTCCGCAGGCCCTCCTGGAGTTAAGACAAAATTAAAACTGTTCCATGACTGCTTTCAAGGCTTTATAGACTGTGAAAAGTGATTTAAAATAAATTTGAATAAATGTTTTTTTTATTATTAATATATGTCTTTTTTATGTTTTTAGCAGCAAAAAAAATAACAACCTTTGAAACCTTTGACTGATTTAACCACGCTGCACTCACCACAGCATTCTGCTCCACACGGGCTCTCACTTGCTCCACCTTCCCAGACACCACCCGGGGGAAAATGGAGGAATCGGCACCCTTACAGAAAAGCAGGTAGTCTCCTGACATCACACAAACAGACAAACAAACACAAAGACAAAAAGTTCATTTTAAGCTATAGTCAAACTTTAACCAAACACCAGTTCCTGTTTCACACCTCACCTGAGCTGGACTTGACTATGACGCTCATCCTCCTCCTGACAGAGTCAAAATTTAACACATGGAGGAGCTGAAACCTGAAGAGGAGAAAACAGAGACAAAGAGATGCTTAGTGTTTACTGATATTAAAATACCAGTTGAACTAATTTTTTTAATTCCTAATGATCTATTTGAGCAAAGTTATGGTTGTAGAAATCAATCCCTGGTAATTCTGGCAATTTCTTCACACAAAGAAAAGCTTCAGATTTTTAAAAAGTAGCATATGAGGCATTGATTAGTTTGAAAATGATTGAGGACCTTTTGATTTCTTACAGCATCTTTATATTCCTGACTCTATACCCTTCTCCCCTCCCCCTTTACTTTAGCTCCCTGTCTTCCTTAAAATAACCCAATATTGACTGACCACTGCAGAGAGTGATGGAGAGAAAGGACGCCTCCATGAACACTTCCTATGGATCTCAACATCCCCTGCTTTCCCTCCTCTCTAATGGAATCTTGCTGGCTTTCAATCAGTGGCAGCATTTTGATCTGATCGAACTGTTTCTAAAAACAACTCTTTTGTGGTTGCAGCTTTTTTTTTAAGGAACACGATCCCTGCAGGCAGCAGATGTAAAAAGCTTGGCTCCATCAACTGACTGGCTCCAGTTTTATCTCCTGTGGTGAAACCACAATGGACACTGGCTGGACCAACCTTTCAATTTCATCATCTTTATTGAGGATCTCCATGTAGCTGTCCTTCAGCCTCAGATAGGTATAACCCAGCCTGGAAACAAGAGCCACACAGACAAACGATCAATCACAGTTCTTCTTGTAGATTCTGGTGAATTCAATGAGGAACTAAAATCACAGATACTGTATAACTGACTCAGTGTCTCAATTACACTTGAAAATATAAAAATGATATACAAATATTTTAAATAGGGCTTTCAGAATTAAAACGTTATTTATCTTTATATTGTGAAAACAATTTGATTAAAATGTCAAATTCCTTCATCCATTTACTAACGGTTGTTTTAATAAATAGGTGATATACACAATATTATTTGCACATACTACAGTAGCCGACTGACAAACTAACTGACACAGTTGTCAAATGAGTTGTGAGAGACTAAATATAAGGATACAGACTGTGATCTTAGTGTCACTTCTAATAGACTACACTGAATTGGGTTTGTGAGAAACAACCTCCATCTCTCAAAGCTTTGTATAAATATCAAGAGATCACTATCTTTCTTTCTTGTTTTCTGATCTGTTTAAATGATTAGTTTCAAAGCTCATGTGAAAAGGCAGAGAGACTCAGTTAGATGGTTTGGTTTCTTCACCTCTTCATTCCTTCCACTAAGGCCACCTCATCTGGTGAAGAGGAGATGTAGAAGGATGTGGGCCTGCCCTGGTGGATGCCTCTCTTGATACCGTCCACCGTCTCCTCTTCCTTCACCTGGACCGTGTGGCAGAGACAGAGCGCTCGGAAGAACAGGTCCTCGTGTTCCTGCAGATACGCAAACACGGAAACACGACAATGTTACAGGATGGAATAAATATTTCAGATCAAAGTTCTAACTTTATCTCCTAGCTATTTTAGTGATAAAATCTCTGTTGTTCATTTAAACCACGTGTATCAAAATATAGCATCAGAGCAGTGTACCGCCGACCAAGTCTCTCTCTTTTCACCTCATTTAAGCTTCAGCAGCATTACCTCCTTACTTTCTGGTCATCTGTTGAGGCTACTGATGCTTATGCTGACTACACAACTTCTCTGATATTAAATCTAAACAAATCACAGCTGCTGCTGCTGCCGCTGCCAGGAATGCAAGTATCATCACTTTTCCCTGCAAAGGCGAACATTTTCTCCCTTGCAAGATAGAGCAAACACTTTACAGGTTAGCAAAAAATACACATCACTTAATCCTTCTGCCTGAACAAGGCTGTTTTTGTCTCCATTTCTATTCAGCTTCTAATTAAAACAAAAGAAAACAAAACAAAACAAAAAAAACCCCCACTCACTCTTCGATATCCTCCAGGTGAGGAATCGATCATGTCTATACTGGAAGCCGCGCTGAGGATTTGCCCGTTGCAGATGGCATGTGGGATGTAGACGTTCCCATCAACGCAACATTCGATGAACTCCATGTTGTTCTCGGTCAGAGTGCCGGTTTTATCCGTGAACACATACTCCACCTGAAAAAGAAGACAACGGGTGTGTTTGTAAAAATCATATTTATTTATTTATTTATTACAGTGTCTATTACTGTGTCAAAAGTTAATTTCTGTCAACAAAATTGTCAACAATCAAGACGTGGTTGACCTCGGTCACAGTGTCCTGTAGATTCCCTAACCGTAACCAACTGCATAAACATTATGGTTGTTAACAAAGCCTTGACAGGCAGTAAACATGGCTGAACTAGAAGAAAGTGGAAGACTGATTTGTTTACATTCGCCATAAGGACCTCAGGTACTCCAGGTAGAAATACAACATGCGTGTCCACATTTCTCATTTTCACACAGAGTCAGAGTGGACTCCTGTTGTTTCTGAACAGTGAATAACAGCCATGGCAGGAGCTTTTACACAGCATCCCACAGATAATCTTCATAATAATTACAGTCAGTCACAAAGTGTCAGAAAGGTTTTAGGTCTGAATGTGGAGAGGTCAACACACCTGTCCCAGCTCTTCGTTCAGGTCGGAGGTGTTGACCTGAGCTCCTTCTCCCAGCTCATCATCAAACATCTCCTCATCCCACGTGATGAAATAGGAGCCAAGGAATTTCTGCATCTCCACCGTCACGTACATGGACACTGGGATGATGTAATTAAACAGGACCATGAAAGCCAGGAAGTCTGTGAAGGCTCGGATAACCTGACAACAGACAGAGAAAATGTAAAATATGAACTAAAAAAAAAACATCGTTTATCAGGCACATCATCAATCAGTGTCTAAGATTTCTGAACACACCACGTGCCGCTGCCGCTCGTTCTCCGTTCTGTGGTTGTACCAGGGCTCGTCTCTGTCGGGAGACCACTGCCAGGCGTATTTCAGAACAGTGTTGATCACGGCCTTACTGATCAAGATGAAGAGATACACTATCAGAAAGGCATTCATCGACCTGGGAGGAGGAAGAACAGAGAACGAAGCGATGGTCAGGTCAGAGCTCCGAAAACAATCCACTTTAAAAACTCTGAATGGAATCTGAATATCAATTATACTTTTCTACAGCGGAGCGCTTCTGGGATTTAGACTGGTAATTTAGTGCCATCTTGGTTTCCATGCCTGTGTAGACTGCAACAGCTGAGACGGAAAAGAAACAGAGTTACTAAAAAAATATATACATATATAATTAGAGTACACAACAATGATACAGTTTAACATTTTTACACTTTCCACTCACTCACATAATAACTGTCATGAATTGTAAAACCAAAGTGCAATACTACATTTCGAGGAAATATAAAGCATATTAATACTACAGACTGCTTACACTGATTGCATTGTCATTTAAATAAATGGGAACTGTAAACATAGCCATTATTGAGCGTTTTCTACAGGGGCATAAGGCAGTCAGTGGACCAATGAGAATAAAATCACAGTATATAAAATATATAAATGACTGATCTACACTTTTTATTCGAGCATGAGAGTCACAGAGAGAGTCTTTGAAACTCACACAGGCACCTTTAAATGTGTCCCCTATGGGACTCGAACCCTCCTGAGTGTAAGGCAGATGTGATAACCGCTACACTGCAAAACGAGAAAGTCTTTGCTACATTTGTTTGGGTAAAACTGACTGAGGGCGTTCACACCAACACTGCTGTATAAATCATTAAGTTACTACCGTAGATATACTGAGTGTTCTTCAGTGTGGCTCCTCGGAGGAGCAGGTTCTCAGCACCAAGAGTTCTGTGACCAAAACACAAAATAATACAGTGGGTTTTATTCAAAAAAATAACATGAATTGATGTGACTGAAGGAGTGACTAAAGAGAAACCCTCACCTGGCTACAGGCTCTTCCCTGTCCTTGTATATATTGATGCGTCCCACAAATCTGGAAGAGGTCGCAGCAATGTAATATCAAGACGCATCAATGAAGGACTTATTATTAAAGGGAGATTTATGTGTAAGCGATATGGCAGAAGGTGTGTATGAGTAACTGCGTGTCAAACTCACTTGTAGAGGTCAGGCTGTGGTTGTTCACATTCAATGGTGGCGTGTAATGAGTCCACCTCCTGCTCCGTTCTAAAGGCCATGGTATCTGGTACGGCGTAATAGGTCTGAGGTACAAAGGAGGACAGAAGGGGGGAGAGGAGAGGAAGAAGACAGAGAGAAATGTCATCTACCGCCACTAATTAGATCAAGGTTCACTTGGTTCCTACACTAGCGAAGACAAGGAGGTGAGCTGTCAGATGGAGCCATCAGTGGGTCAGCAGAGGACAGCATGCTGGGAAGGTGAGCACAACAGGGGGTCACCCTCAGGGCATCAGCCAGGAGGGATTGTGTGATTGTGATTGTGTGTGTGTGTGTGTGTGTGTGTGTGAGATGGTGCGTATGAACGCTCAGCCATCCATGCGATTGTGTGACTGACATCAGTGAACATCAGCAAAGTGAAATGTGATGAGTGACAGTGTGTTGTCTGCGTGTTGTGCATTTGTGAATCTTTGAAAAAAAAAAAAAAAGATGATGTAGCAAAATAGCTAAACATCATAATCCATGAACTTGAAAAACATCTTCAACTGCTTCTTTAAATCTTAATATTAAAGTCCAAAGCAGACATATCACCCCCCCAAAAAGAATAATTGATTTAGGTGTCAATTACTACTTTATCAGTGTGGGCTTTTATGTAAAGGCCTAAAATCCAGCTTTCATTAAATTTTCAACAGTGCCTCATTTATTTTAATGAATTCTTGTTTAAAATGCAACAGAAAAAAATTCTGATTCAAAATCATTCACTTTCTGCACCTTGTGGCTGGATTCTCCATCCAGGCTGGCGGTGGTGACATAACAGGTCCCATCTGGGCGGCTGGAGGAAAGAAGGATGAGGTCACAGGGGAATGTCTCGTCCTCCCTGACCATAACGATGTCTCCAACCTAACGTGAGAAGGACACAAGGGCACTATATTGACTTATACATTATTAATGGTGTACTTCTGAGAGGAGGTTTGCATAAACAATTTAAAAAAAAAAACCTAGCAACATTCTCTATTTTCCTCTCTCAGGATTAGGAAGTTGCGTAACACACGATGTGAGCGGAGCAGCTTAAGCTGGGATAAATCCCATCTCACAGCAGCCGTGCACATGACACACACTCTCTGATTTTGCATGATTAATACATCCATCATTATTCCTGCTCCCAATACACATTGCAATCCCCTCCGTTTGATCTCTGGAAGTGAGAAATCTTGGTACATAGAGAAGCCAGAGGCTGAGAGGGTGATGAAAGAAGAAGGAAAAAGAGAAGAAAATGAAATTTACATGTCTGTGCCATCTAGTAAACCTCTGTGGTAACACAGGCGTACACTCTATAACCTTCAAGGTCTTGTAGCTGTACTGAAGCCAGATTTCCTAAAAATTACACTTGACATCCTGTGTGCTCGACAGGAGCAGCAGATGCAGCAGAAACGCTTGTACCTGCAGCCATTAAAAACACTCCTGACACAAGAGTGAAATTACACAATCCATCTACATACGAGGATCTGAGGCGGACGATCACATTCTGCAGGTCTTGTTTTGATCTTTGTGAGCAAAAGCAAACACAGTAAAACAGGTTCTGTCTTATTGACAGAGCAGTGTTGATCTACTCTAGTTTCTAGTGCCAGAGCACTATCATGACACTAAGTAGAGGGACAAATATTTGACATCCAATCCTCATCAGTTATCACTTAGTTTGTCCTGCAGTCAAAATATTTATTGGAATTTAAAGTTAATTTGTCCTTACAATTTTGCTGGAGTTTATCCAAACCCAAAATGTCTTTATTCTAATCCTCTATGTTGTACAATGTTCATGACACATTTGGCTTATTCCTTCAATAATGCATTGGTTGGGTACAGTATATTTACTGCAGATGTCCACCCTGCTACAACACAGCCAAGGTTGAGACACTTGGTGGAAGCAGGAATCGTACCACTGCACCACTCTAGCCCTACAACTCAATGTCACTGATAAAGTATCCAAATGTAGTCCGATGTGGTAAAAACCTGTATCCAAGCATGACACCCAGTAATTTGTTTGTTGGATCCGCGTGGCATTACTTGACGAGGGTTTCTGTCTCCCTAGTGAGTCAGGTAACAGTGTTCTGCTGCAACAGTTTCAAGGTCACTAATTGGACGAAAAGGGAAGAAGAGGGGAGGAGAGGGAAGCAGCAAAACAAAGTCTGGACCGCAAAGAAGTGGAGACGGTGAAAGTGAGACACAGACATAGAAAGTGGGAGCTGCACAGTTCTGTTGGGGTTTTTTTTGCGGCCTCAGGTGCTATTGCTGCTCTAATGAGGCCATTCTTACCCGTAGCTTGTGACTCTGTGTCCTCACCACCTTCCCTCGCTGCACCACATCCACCGGACACTCATTTATAGAGCAGTCGGCTTTGTGTCGGAGCCAGTCCTCGTAGCCCTGGGAGAATTGGAGAGAGGTGGTGAGAGGGAGAGGTGAAGGGAGGCACATGATATTTAAAAAGACTGGTTGTCTCTTGGCTGGGTAAAAACACAGACTGCAAAAAAAACAGTACAGTAAGTTGGTGAATAATATTGTTGTAAGCTCCGTAGATAACAACCTAATGGTTGTAATGTGATTTAATGTTGTCCATTGATATAAAAAAAAAGTTTCCTAAAGTAAAATAGCTAAAGATTTCAGTTCAGGTGTGTCACCACAATATACCCTAAACCTAGTCAAACTATGGTCCGTGGTTCCACTTAAGCCCCGCTGCGCTTTCCAATCCAATCCACCAAACACTGGAACATGGTATGGTAGAGACGGAGGTCAATCCTGTTTCATGCATTACAACAAATCATCAGTGATTTCTGTTGAAGCAGCAGACATCAAATGAGCCAAATTATCTTTGCAAGTTTAGGTTTATTCTTGTACATTTCATTTAAATTATTTCACCCAGCATTTTACATTTAACCAAAACTAAAACTCTCCACTAGTAAAAATGTAAGCCTGATTTTGTCTCATGTTTGACCACCCCTATTTGTCTTGCATTTTCAAAAGTTTTAACAAATGACGTTTTTCAATTATTAAATATAGAAAATCGGGGTCAAACCAGAGCATGACATCAAGAGAGAAAGATTCAGTCGCAACCGTGGAGAGGTGAGAATCACAGTCAGTAATTAATTAGCTTTGTGCTCCCTGAGCCTGGTGACCTCGTTCCCAGATTTCTAGCCAACGTGTCATGTTTTAGATTTATGTCTCTGTAAAGCTCAGACTTCCGTAGCCAGAACAGCTTCATCTATCACTGATAGTGGCCCATCTCTCACCACCAGCACAGGATGCATCTCCCGGGGGTACAGGATGCTCAGCTGGAGTGATTAACAGAGAAGACCATTCATTATCATATTTCTCACATCACCAGACAGATTCAATGGCGTGTCCTTCTCACTAAGCGGGGAATGTGTACAAACAGATAACAGAGCAGCCAACTGGTGTGTGTTTGAGGTTTAGAGTTGATGTGAGGAGGTAAGAAGACAACAATTCCTACTAATGACAGTCTGTTTGTGTGTTTTCTACCTGTTTTATGGCGGTGACAGTGATAACAAAGAAGAGGGGCAGACCGCTGGTGACTGGGCTGGTCGGGGTGTCGATGATAAGCTGCAAAGAGAGAAGAGGAGGAGGAGGAGCTTTGAGAGCAATGCAGTGGTGGAGGAGGAGGATCAGAGAGGATCAGATGCCAAATAATCCAAATGCTGAGTAAGAAAGTACAGCGAGAGTAGATTCTACAGCATGTAAGAAGTCAAGCATCCTTTTAACACACTCAATGCACCTCACAAGTCCTCCCCCCATGATGGAATTGTGGTATATGTTTCGCATCTGCACTTATAGAAGAGCAATACATCCAAAAGGGCTGTTTTCAACCAGGCAGAGCAGAGCAAGTGCTGCTGCTACAGCTGCTGCTGCTGCAGCTGTGTGTAGTGCAGACTTTTTTCCCATTAGGGCAGTGCAGTATTTCACATGCTAATGACAAAACATGCAGCGCTCTAACAGCAAACACATTGCAATGCGTTCATGTTTACCTGTAAAACTTTTATTGCTCGGCCGTGTTACAAAAAAGTTGGGTTTAGATTAAACACCTTCACCAGTTATATTACAGAAGGCTTTAATGCTGTGGTAAATTCATTATTTATAGTTATGATTAAGTTCTGCTTAATGTCCATCTTAGAAGACAACAAAAGGTTTGCCAAGAAATGACAAAGCTCATTCATCATTAATTAACTAATTGATCATTAATTAATAGCAAAAATGTCTCAAATTGTTGCTAAACGCAACCAATGCGGGGTTAAAACATGCTTTGGTTGCCAGAAATACAACACAAAGAGCTAAAAACAGGACAAAGACCATTCCATTAGTTTTTAATGGAATGCTAAAGCCTATCTTTAGCATTCCATTAGAGGCGTAAGTGTAGTTTCAGACAGATCAGATAAAACAGATCAAATTTATATTCAATTTAGAAATGTATCAAAACGTTCAACTCACTCTCATCTGTATCTCTAATTTGAATGGAAAATCTTACCTGGACTAGAAATATGACCAAGAAGTAGAAGTTGGCAATTCTTCTGAACTGCTCGAACAGATTCTTGGGAATGAAGTTCCAGAAGGTGTACTGTTGGTCAGAAAGACAGCGACAGTGACTATTAGGCTCATAAAAACAAAAAGAAATATTAGAATATGGGGAGAGAATGTGTCCATACATGGATTATACAGTTGTCTAAAGTTGAAACAGCAATAGCTAGGTAATAATAATAATAATAACAATACATTTTGGACAATACATCTTGGTTCAGGGGCTGTATTAGGCTCACCTTGGAGGAGACAATGCGGTTGTCAGGGAAACGCTGAGGGATGTAGGCCTCGGCTCCCGGTGGTGGTTCTTTATGTCCTATGTAGATGGTCCGACTGTCCACCCAGATCTCCTCCCCCACACACTGATGAGCACACGGATCAGATGAAGATATAAATAGCAATACTTGAAAAATTCAGGTTAACTCACACATCACGTTCATTTAAAATTCATGACCTACTTAGAACCATCTGACATGTCACATAACACCTAACTCTAATACCTCAATTATTGTTCTTCTGGGAACTGGACATCTCGGTGTCATAATAACATATGCTCCACTGCCTCACCACCAATATCAGCTAAATGACAACCAAATGACTTGTTAGCTAAACCCCAAGATTGTTAGGAAATAGAAACTATATTTGATCCAAAAATATAAAGAAGCTAAGCTATTGATAACTAAGGAATAGCTACCGGTTAGTCTACATATATATGTAATGATAACTAAAAGAAAAAAAAAGTTTGCTAAAAAGAGAAAAGAAAAGAAAAAGCTAAAACATAATCTAACAGAATTAGCATTGGCCTAGAAACTGCTTTATTTTAGACCAAATTTCTTCTGAATTTCTTAATTATAACATTTTAAAAAACAACATGGACACTGTAAAAATGAATTAGATCATTTAAATGACATATTAAATAAACATACTGTATAAATATACATATTCAACATCAAAAATAAAACATATGGGTGGATATTTGTGTACTAGTTGCGTCAATGCGTCTGAAAAATACTCCATACTCTCAGACTGATGGAGATGTTTAAATACATGACGCACATTATCTGTTCATTTGTGATTCACATTTCTCCTAAGTAGCTCCCCTGGAGTCAGCACAATGGGATTCTGGGAGTTCAGCGCAGTGCATATTTGCCCAAGGTGTCCTTCATTAGAAAAGCTCACTCCCAGAGAGTCAAGACACCCACAGCCACAGAATTTCAGCTGTTTGTCTCTGTCTGGCTTCCTACTGCTTTGGAACACTCAGACATACAGCAGCAGTAGTGTGAGTTCTTCACAGAGCAGCAGCCTGCCTGATACGGCTCAGAAGAGATTAGCAGAAAACTTCGGAAGATGACGGCTGATGGAGAACCGCTTTCAACATTTTGACCATGAGACACCAAAATGTCTAAAAAAGTGTCCAAAAATGTACATGTGATATTGATGCAGTTTCAAATGTGTTCCAAGAACTTAAGTTCAATTTTGACGAAAGAACAAAAACGTAAACTAATAAAAACAAAAGCCAACAGCAATGCTAGTAAGTTTAGCACCACATATCTAAACTTATCCACTGCCATCAACAGGAGCTTAGAAGTGGGACAAAAATAGACACAGGGCCAACAGTGTCAGACGACTCCTAAACATTACAAGAGCAACAAGCAGAAGGCTGGGGTGAGGATGAACCAAACAGGGGGTGAGGAAAAAGAAATGTGTGAGAGTTATTGGGAAGAGTGAAAAGGGAATGAAAGTTGAAGAGAGCCCCCTAGAGGGTTAAAATTAGTTTGATGATAAAAATAGATATATGTGTGTGTGTGTGTATGTATGTATGTATGTATATATATTACATATATAATAGAGTATTTCAGAGGAAGCAACTATTCCTCTTTAAGGTGCAGAATTCTCTTTTCCTAGACCTGATTAGGTTCAAGACTGGCTGTTCCACGGTTGTTCAACGCTCAAATCCTGACAAGTGACCCTGGGTGAGCGATGGAGAAAGACACACAGAGATTGCATTGTGCTGTGTAGTTATCTGATGGTTAATTCTCACTGATCTGTATCAACCCCGGGGCCTGCTGTTCTCTTTTCATCCCACAGCTCTATCAGACAAAGTGACCGGCTGGCTGCTCACAGGACATGGAGGCTTTGTCTTTATTAACAACACTGAGGCAGCGTCTTCACACAGAGGCTGCTTTTGCATCAGTCACCAGCAATGACAACGTGCCTTAGATAACCAGCAAGCTCACAACACTGCAGGTCACGCTGCTGTGTGCTTTTGTCCAAACTGTTTCAACTTTAAAAAGGAAAGTTGCAGATCCACACTTTACAACATCAGCCTGACCGACTCTGGTAGCTTGCCTCACAGGTGAAAATGAAAATGCACCATGGACTTTTACAAGACTGAGCTTGTGGTGATGGGGACCGTCCATGCCGTCTTCATGTTGTGGGCTGTTTTCCCTCCACAGGGGAATAATAAAAAGCCTCATAACCCGGCCTGAGTAAATGTGTTGATGTCTCTTTCTTCCTGCGCTGTTGCTCCACACTGATGCTAGAGAACCTATTGCCCCTCAATTACTCTTAGGATCCAATTCCCCTGACTGAGCTGTGCCTTAACAGACCAGTCATGTGAGCCGAAGAAGAAACAGAAACATGCCATGTTTGTTTACACGGTAGACACAATCCAGGACTTGGACATACACATCCTCCTAAGTCACTGACAGTCTGAGCTTACACAATATGATGCATTTACAAAGGTTAACATACTATTAATGCTAACATCTATCCTATATTCAGTTCCTAGTTTTTCACCTGAGCTGACAGGGTTCAACATCCAGTATGGAGAAATGTGCTTTTCTTTTCTAAAGATGTCAAAGATAAAGCTGTTTACAGATGACACTGTAATCTGTAGTGCAAGGTAAAAAAGAACCTGGAGAGATGGAGGTCTAATCTGAAGAGAAAGGTAAAGGGATTTGGTGATGGGCCTGCCAGGCAGAAGGAGAAGTCTGTGAAGAAGAATCATAGATGTAGTAAACATGTTGGTGAAAGGGCGACCAGGCTACTGATTATTAATAAGAACCAGAAAGGTCAAACCAAGGCTCTCAGAATTTTTGACACATACTTGTTTTATACACAGTTGACCTTGTGTCACATTTGCTGTAAAACAACACGTTTACTGATCTGAAACATATGTTTCCAAATGTATTTGATCACATGTGGCAAGTAAATCACCTAAGGTGAACGTGTAGAAAGTGAAACAGGAAAATAGGACTACACAGGAAAAGAAATCACAGCGGCTCTGAAGTCTGCCCTGGCATTGTTAGCAGAGATAAAAGGAGCCTCCAGACCTTGATCAGCTAAAAGGATGAAGGCTACCTTCTCAACATGCCTGCCATGAGATACTCATTAGCCATTAATCACCATGGCAACACCACGGTGCCGACATATATCTGTCAATTTGTGAGAAGAAATTAAGGTTAACATACTAAAAAAATGAAAAAAACAAACATAAATTGTGTTTAATTTTCCTTTTTTAAAGTGAAACATCAATGCTCCTGACTTCATCCTCAATACCATCTTGGTGCTTCATTTAATTTTAGTTCAGGCAGGACTTGTTAAGATTATATTCTCTAAGGAAAACCTTATTTTAGGTACAAGTGAAATAAACATCAAGAGCTCAGAGAGAAAAAGCAAGGGAATGCAGTGATCAGAGAAGGGCAGGAAAATAACGTCATTAAACCAAGGCTGTTTTCAGCCCTGCATAAAAGATGCAGTGGTGAAATTATGGATAATTTCCCAGAAAAAAAACCTTTGTTTTTGGTTACTTATAGCATGGTTGGGAATAAAGCAGTATTTTTCACATTTCTGTGCTAAACCTGTATTATATAATGCAAAACTTTTCACATAATGTTTGGCTACTTCAAGCCAACTAAAACAGCTACTTTAAACCTTGAAGATGCAAACCACTGCAAATGCAAAAAATAATTTTAAAAAAAATCTTTATTCTCTCATGGCACCAGGTTCCTCTTCCATTTGTCATATCCCTCTGATCTCACTGTTACATAACACTTTAATCCAGCTGTGCTGCTCCTCGTCTTTTTTTTTTTGCCCACTCCTCTTTCCTTTTTCCTTCAGCTCCAACAGCTGTAATCTGCACCAACAAAAACTCATTCTATTCCTTTTCCTCAATTTGATTACATTTAATGCAGACATTAGGCTCACACATGGGCTGGAGAATGTGTTTTCTAATAAAGGCAAGGACTCCAGGGCATGCATTGCAAAAAAAAACAACAAAAAACCCCATAACACTTTTATGAGGCAACATGCTGAATGGATGTTTATATCCAGGCAAATCTCAGTCCTGTGTTTGTGTTTGTAAGCCCTGACTCTACGCCAGGGCCCTGTCTCTGGGGGGCAAGAGGGGGAGCAGCAGACAGAAATAGCTCGGTCTGAACTGTTGGTAGCAGTGGGAACTAATGTGGTAAACAATAATCAGACTTGGTCCTGGCTTTCAACACCACTCAGTAGCCTGAAAGAGCTGTAAAGCTGCTAGAAACCTTTCTAAAGCCCCGCAGCTCTCCTGGACCTACCGGCACCTTCTTACTGATCAAAGGGAGACATCACTGGCCTTTCTCTTTTATCAGCCAAGACTAGGAGGGGTCAGTGAAAGAATAATGGTTATATGCCCAGAGATAAGATGCAGAGGAAGGTGAGGACACTGGTAAATCAAACAGGGGAACATGACAGCCCCGTTATCAAAGGGGGACATTATTTTAAAAACGGGAAGCCATGACATTGTGATGCTGTTGTAATGGTGTTATGTAACGTAATGTACTTATCAGCCATATATTTACACCTTATCCATGACATGACAGCATGTTGTCTTGGTTGGCGTCTGTCTGCAGGCATCATGTCACCTCAGTGTGTGAACAGACCAAAGTTTACACAGCCTGGCTAAAATGGCAGAATTCCTACTTTTCATGCTAATACAGTTGAAAACAATAGTCACTTATATACAGTAGATCACAGATGCTTTTTTGTTTTTTTAACTTTTTTAATATTAATGTAAAATGCTCTAAATCCTTAGCCTTTAGCATGAAAATGTCAAATGTAAACCATTTATATCCTCTGTATCTACTGAACATAGTTGTTCAGGAAGTCATCAATGAATAAATGTCATTATAAATAAAAATCTCTTCCTGCCCTGGTCTGACTTCTGGTCTGCTGAGATACAAGAACAACAGTGTACGTACATATGCACACACACCCACACACACAGCTATACTGTATATTGCATGAGGACTGCTTTTATGCCAGCAGAGAGAGGTAAGAAAAAATCAGTGGAGCAGCTTTATCATATTACACAACATAATGTCCTGTTTAAACTTCATGCTCTGCAAAATATCCACGACACCATATTCATCTTAACGAAAACTACTAACCGAACTGGAAAGACTTAATTCATCAGCAGTTTTCCCAGAGTCAGAAAAAAACAGGCACATAAGCAGGAATCATGTGCCGTTTTTAGAAAATGTAATCTCCTTCTCATTATGAGCAGCAGCACAGGATACATTGATATAACCGGCTGTGGCCTGTGAGGACGTTTTCCTAGAAAGATTTTACAGTAAAAGATAAAATATAAGGCTTATATCGATCTGAAAAAGATTAAAACTCTCTCAGGAAAAAGCTGCATGCTGTTTTTTTAGAGGTGTAAAGTTGTTAAAAATGTAGCAGTGGGTTCTGTACCGAGAAAAATGTGTTGTTGTTAATTGAAGAAAACATCTTTTTGTAATGGAACTAGGAGTCGTTGTGATTCCTGTGCCTTTGATTTACAGACAGTGTTGTTCAAATGTAACAGCACTGCTCAGTGAACAACGCATTAGCAGTAGAACTGCATTTCATACTGACATTTTTCTACAACTTCCCAAATGAAACCTGAAACAGAATTCAGTGCCGTGAAGTAACATAAGACCAGACTGCTGGACCTGAGCAACGCAGCTGGTTCTATTCTCACCTCTGATCTAATGAATATCTGCTGTTGGGATCCTTTTTAAACATCATTCTTATTTTAGCTATAAGTGAAAGATCAGACTGGGTTTAGTGGTGAAACGATTATTTAACAACATAACTGTTTTGAGGTCAGATATGACAAAATGTTTGCACTCGATTGTATTTCTTTGCTCACGTGCTGTAGATTCTGGGACATTTCATTTTATTTTCCAGCCTCAGGGAGTGACTGTCAATATGTGGGAGATTTCAGGAGTTCCAGGAGACTCGGGATGACCCAGGATGTCTTAAGTGATTTGATATAAATCCCAAACTGCAGCCTTCTTTGCTTGTTATATAATCGTACAGAGCAAACGCCTCGGACAGAAAAATGCACCGAAGACGAGGCACAAGTCACTGACAGTGAAAGAATAAGAGAACATTTGAAGTGAAGGGCCCATAAACCTGCCCAATGGAGTACAGTCGACTATATCTGATGTACTCTCTTCACTGAAGAAGAGAACATTTAACCTTTTTTGATTCATTTTTCTGTACAAAATCACAGAAGCATTGAGGCTTCAGCTACATTCGGGCCCTGACCTTGATGGGAGTTTACTGCCCCGTCTCGGACACGCTGTTATCATGTTAATCACCTCCAATGATGTAACGTTTGTTCTTCTGCATGGTCTCATTAAGGGAAGCAGCAATTCATAATACAGCAGGGTTAATGGAAGGTGACAGCTAAGTAATGGGAGGCCCGGCTATACGTCCGCCGTCGTTCCTATTCAAAATCAATATGCAGATAATTGAATTAATGATTAATTCCTCATCCACTGCAAAGATGCAAAGAGAAAGGATGAGGGATGAGAGATGAGACACATCTTCAATGACCCCCATCCTTCCCTTTCCTCTACCTCCTGCCCCGCCTCCTCCGCGGTGGTGGATCTGATTTCCCCTGATATTAGCCCTGTTGGAGCATCCGTCAAGCTCCCCATACACTGTCTCCTGCCTACTGCACACACACACTCACAGTCTAATTTAAATAATACCAGCAGACTAGAAACTCAGAAGCCACAAGAACAAACATTGTTATGTTCAACGCACCTGAGCCGATACTAAGGTCAGGTGAAAGGTTTGGGCACACAGCACATCACCGATGTGATGGCAGTATTCCACGGGAGATGGGACTGATCAGTGTCACTGTGCCTGTCAGATCAGAACACCTTTTCTTTTCTGATATCTCTTATTCCAGCCCATCCATCATAAACCAGCTGCTTCCTGTCCTGGCGGATAATCAGAGTCTGATGATGATGGTGATGATCCTGTCACATGAAATGAACCACTAATATGGTTAAAGGGCAGCATGGCCGTAATCAGAACACTTCCTCTTTAGCGAGGCTAGAGTTTATTGGGAGTTTAGAGTTCATTAAGAATAATTGCCATATTTTATGAAGTTTAACATATAGAGGCTGAGGAAACACTCAACAGAATCTCAGAAACTACAATTCACAAAGCCTCGTCAAAACAAGAGAAGGAAAGTGGAGAGATATTGTCTGGTTAAATGAGTGTTATCCCGCTGTGACATTTGAATAAGATGGTCAGAATTAGGCACAGCAACATGACAGCAAGACTCAGTCCTAGCCAAAATGTAGGTCTCAAACTGATGCACCAAATTTAACCATTAGAGAGGTGATAAAGGAGATACACACCATGGATAATATGTTCCACATATTGACCAGTCCGCAGCCTCTAAAACATTACTCACATCAACATACTGTACGTGATAGATATTTCCAGCATCCTATTAAATGCAAGCCTATTAAATATAGATATTTCCAGCATCCTATTAAATGTATGCCATTAGGTATTGAGTCAGTTGTAGCAAACTACGAAACGCAGTTATAGCTCGTGATTTCTCCAACCCTTCCACTACACCACATCAATTGCTTATGATGTATTTTAAGTGCAACACACAAATTATGGCATATGGAAAATTACAACCAAAAATCGTGAAACGCGAGGACAATAAATAAAACATTAAGGGGACACGCTGCTGTCTTGTCCGGGCAAGCTAAACATGGAGAGCTGATGAGAGGTCTGTGAGGTTGCTGCTGCCTCACTGAATTAATGAACTCTTTCAGATGGTGCCTTCTGCGGGGGGTCACCACAGAGAATAACATAAATATCTAATTTGATGCTGTTTTTATAAGACACAGCTCTCTGCAATGAGGCTTTAAGTAACATCCTAGTTTATGTTTTAAAATCAGGGCCTGTGGGCCAGATTTGGCCCATCCAGTCATTATATTTGGCCTGCAAGACAAGTCTAATCATTGTTTGAGATCATTATATTACCTTTTCCCTGCAGCGACTGGGACAAAATAACCTAAAGACTAAAAACTTTCTTTTAAAATAAACAACTTAAGTTTGTCCAAAACAAACATTCATGTAAAATATATGTTTCTTTGATAAATATTTATCCTATACAGGGTCAGCAATTTATCAATCGTTTATAGAGTCATTACATTGATACAGTTTTCCACCAACAAGTGGCTCTTTCAAGGCACATGATGCTGACTTTTCCCCTGGTATAAAATAGTTTGACATCCAAGACATAGGGTCATCTATTCCAGAACACAATTCCAGCTGGTGACTTTTCCGATTGTAAAACACTCTTGCCCACTGTTCCCCAGTCTTTCTTGCAGGAAATTAGATTTGGTAAGCTCTTCATTATAATACACCTTGGAAAAAATATTGTCTGGACAATTCACCTGGATGACCAAGATCCAGAAATGGAAAATACAATAAAAACACAACGTAAACCATTTGAACTAGTGCTGTGCTGCAATGCTCAAAAGAGTGTATGTTGCAGCAGCGCTCTGGTGACATATTAGATTAATGACATATAGTTTTATGGTCTTCTTGCAATATATCCCTATAGCGGAAAAGCCTAAATATATCATAAAAACTCAATTTGATCTAAAGATATCACATATACGTCAAATGTTTGCAACTTGACACTTCACCATTGTGCCATGTTTGTCTGCTCATCAATTTTCTGTTAGCTTTTAACTGCAACTTTGACTAAATACATAGAAGTAGGTGCTTAAGCTTTACTTAGCACCAAGTTAAACTTGAACGGCCTGTTAAACAAAGTTATCCTCAAACTAATGTAGCAGACTGACTGTCAGCTAGGCCTCTCCAGCCTGCCTGTTATTTCTGACTGGGATTTATTTCCTCTGCAGACCAGGTCAACTGGAAGCCATGGGATACTTCAGTATGCATGCATGTTGTAACTCACTAAATACAATTTAAGTGGGCCAGCCAAGTTCATTTGGATTCCACACATTCACCGACCACTTCTGCATCTGCAGCCACAAGCATATTCCCCATTCAAGTAAACAAACACAGAGTAAAGCCCACTGTTGGTGTCCTGCCAACGCTGCTGGAGTCAACCGTTTACCACTACATAATAAAGAAGTGTTTTATCCTGCTTTCTGACCCTGACACAGTGCGATACAACCTGTACTACTTATATGTACAAGTATCTAACATGCAAGGTGTGTGTATCTGCAGTAGCAGTCCTTTGGGACAACATGAAAATGTGAAAAGTTTTTTTCACAAACGAAGCAGAAGTGTAGCATTCATTTAGCAACACTTCATGGCTAAATGAATGTATATTCACAAAATTACTGGAACATGTTAAATTTATCTTAAATGTTCTGTTATGTGCACTGTAAACGTGTAACAGCTTCCCTGTGTGTTGTACTTTTATTTTGCAATTACTTGGGGAGATCCAAATGGCAAAAAAACAAAAAGATATTTTGAGATAAGCAGAATTGGATCAATGTAGTCGGGTTACTGAGTTGTCAGTAATTTATTACCATTACCAAAATCGTAACAGACTTAATTTTTGATTGTATGTGTCCATGTAAATACTGTCACTGACTATTCAAGACACTTTTCTGTCTTTATATATAGTCTGCAAATCTAGCCACTCACCAGAAGTCACTCACAAGAAACATTCAAAACTAACAGGTACTACAAACAATGGAATATAACCAAAATGGGCGGTTATATCGTGATAAATATACCATCTAAACTTGAGACAGAGCCACAGCTGTGATGCCCTCTGACGCTCGGTGGAGGGGGAGATAAGGTAAAATGAGAAGAAAAAGAAGAATAAGAAGAAAAAGTAGTAGAAGAAGAAAGAGCTTACGTATCTGCTGATGATATTTCGGAGGAGGCTGAAATCCATCCTTTTTGCTCGTAGTTCCGGCGGCGAGTGAACTCTACAGCAGAGACCTTCGGTCGGTCGTCGTGTCTTCGTAAACGCTACCTAATAATGTGGCTCTTTCCGCCAGTATCCATCGTCACAATCATCGCCATCATCAGCAGCATCTTCCTTGTCGTCGCCGCTTGTCACCACCAGCTCCACTGCTCCCTCCGCCGTTTCTGTTGTGATACCAGTGAAGAGGAGCAGTGCTCGGCCAGTTCGCTGATTTTCATGGCATCCCGGTGAAGAGCCATGCATCGACTGTGGCGAATGCAACCTCACACTCGCACTCCCGCTGCAACCCCTACCGCTGAGCTACATTTCACCGCAAACCGCCGACGTAAAAAACTAAACTCCAAAAACCACCGAGGCCCGTTACTGTGGCGACTCTTGGCCTCGGTAGAGTGTTTAAAAGCCCGCAGCAGACAGACCCTCAGTAAGTCAATGCCCCGCTCCCTCGGATACAACAGCGGTAGATCCCGGTGAAGCAGTGTCAACCACAAACGTCCACAGGCAGCCGTCAGGTGACCGCACTGAGCATGCGCATTGTAGAGAAATTAATCCATCCACTCAGACAAGTGCTGTCCACTACAAAACAAGTGACCCCGTATGACCACATGGAGAAGCAACAGTGCTAAAGTCTTTTAGTGGTAAAAACTATTCGTACGTTTTATTTAACAGTTAAAGTGAAATCCAAAGTACTTATCATTTAATAAAGCACTCAAACACTGGTATTAATAAATACTTCAAGTATTAAACACAGCCTAAACATTTTGGGCATATACAAGTTTTCATTGAGTCCCACTCCATTTTCAGCCCATCTTCTTATACTTTTGAATTGTTTTGACACTATGAATACAACCCATAGTTACTTTTGCATGCAAGAGCATATGGGTTAGTAGCTCGACATTTACAAATTAGAAGTCAAGAACACACAGTACTTATTGGGGTTTTGTTTGTTTGTTTGTTTGTTTGTTGTATTTGCTTTTACATGCAGTAATATCTGTTTAAACATTTCCACAAAGCTGCTGGATTGAATTAGTTTTCAGCATTGACGTTATTATTGTTTGTAAAAAAGCATATACGGCAACACATGTTTTTCCTGCAACTTCTTTTTTCTGATCATATTTGTTGAGTTGTACAAATGTCAATCAAGAATTGACAGTGACGTGTTCCCTAAGTATGTTAGACCTCTGCACTGACATTGTAAGTGGAGTAAAACATTTTCCTCAGCTTACTGTAGCCTATATTTAACTCTGGGTTTAATTAGACAAAGAGATTTCACATACTCTAAATGCTTCAGGGCTCAGGGTATTAAAATCAGTGGCAAACTAGAAGCTATATTAATGACACCATAAACTAAGAAAAGGTTTGGCAGGATATCAATGTTTTTTGTCTTATTAATAAACTAAAGTTGTTATTCTTGCTGTTATTTTCTAAAACATTTTCTTCCAAAATCTGTGCAAATTAAAACTTAGATCCTCGAAAATCCTTAAACTCATGAGTTTCAATTAAGAGGAGAAGGAACTGAATATTAAAATAAAAATACATACGCTTTAAGTGCTCTCTTTCTGACACACTGTTAAACACATCAACAACTGAACATTGTAGCTTTGTTATGCTAGTCAAAGAATATGCTACTGCTATAATTGCTAATCATTAGCCAAAATCTAAAAACCTAGCTATAGAAAAATATGAATTGAGTCTAAACATGTTCTAGGAATAATATTATGAACAACTCAAGGACAAAAGTGAGGAGTAAGAAGATAAAGGTGGGAGTATAATAACAAAAAAACAAAAAAACAGGAAACCAAAAAGCTTAGAACACAATTTTCTTTTTCCTTGAATTGCAACACCTGTAATACATAAAGGTTAGTTGAATACTATCAAATCAATTAATTTTATAAAGTAATAAATCTAACAAATAGTCCAGGGACCATAAGCATTAAGCAATGTGAATAAAATCATTCCAAAATGCTAAATGTGACAGGGTCCATATTTGTAGAACTTCTGTAAAAACTAGTAAAATTTAAATGTATCCACTCATCCATGCCAGGAAACCCAGCGACAGCAGACTGTAACATCTACACTGAACATTTCATTTGTGGACTTATGGCTTTCAATTAGCACAGACACAGACATTAATTATGCATGAAGATGCAGCTGCACTCATAGCTCTGACCTATTAAAGCTCAATGCTGCTGTTAGCCTCCCTGTAGACCTGAGGGCACTTACTGACTAATGGTGAGTTAATGTCTCAGTGGACACATCAGAACACACCTTTTGTTTATTTACCATTTAAAAAATATTGGTGTTGTGCTTAATATCCCAGATATAATAAACAATTGGTCTCATCTGATTTTTTTGGCATTCCAAACATTACTGAATATAAAAGGTAATTTAAAACAGAAGGCCAGGAGTTAAACAAATTGGCCGCTGGATAAATAGCTAAAAAAGTAGCAAATTTGAAATAGAAATTGCGAAAAGTAAAAAGCATCAACCCTAACCCAAGACGTTTTTAATGCATCCTTTAGACTAATTATTTTGTTGTATAAAAGAGTAAAATGTAAGCTAAACAAGACATTTTCTTACAATTAAAATAAGAATGATCACTAATCAGAAGAGCTCAATGAGTGAATGGGTAAAATGGGTTTGCAAATAAAGCATATACAGCTATTTGCTGCCATCTGGTGGCTATTGTGCAGAAACACGTGTGTTGCCTCCCTGAACGGCGCTCATACTGTACATGTTCCCCCGGGTCAGGGCTCACAGTTAGTTTAGATACAGGTAATTGAGCAGCTAATTAATTGCTTTGAATAGCGGTAATTGAAGGACCATTTAAGCATAAGTTCATTCTCTACGACGGCAGAATAAATTCATTAGAAGATAATTAGGTCTTTTAGTCATTCGGCCACAGTGTATTAATTTGTAGGAATTAAAAAACAGCACCAACAGCTTTGTGTGTCACTGATTTGTTAACTGAACGAGTCCTCGAGTGTGTTTACAGATTGCCTGAGTGATTTTTACATTGATGAATGAATGGAAAGATGAAGGAATGAGCTCGTGGGAATCGTGCGTGACCTCCCAGGTCATGTCCACTCAGGCGGATGTTGTGGAGGTGAATTAAGAACGCGAGACAGAGATTTTGTGAGTAAGCAATGTGTCCTCTGCAGGACGTGTGTCCCTCTCTCTGAGCCCAGATAATAGGTGTGCTTTTTTTGTGGTGTTGGTGGCTGGGTGCGTCACATGCTTTCTCTCTCTTCATGCCCGTTGCTGGTGCCAGGAGAGCGGCTTAAACCTGCGTCTGGAGATGGGAGTTGTGGAGATCCCAGGGAGCGGATGCCTGGCACCGTGAAATAGGATTTGGAAAGGACCAAAGCAATGAAGCGGGAGGGAGACGAGCCACTGCCAAGTCCTCTCTACGGATTTGTTGCCCCCCTTCTCACCCCTTAAACATATTCAGTTTGTGCACATAGAGAGTCACACACATACACACGCAAACATGGGCAGATCTGAGCAAGTAAAATGGAAAGAAGGGAGGAGTGTAATAAGAAGAAAAGTGTTTTGGAGCAGTTGAGTTATGGAGACAGAGACCTGAACGTGTTCACCTACTCATACAACACACTAATCCCACTATGGCTTTACCTGCTGCCTCCTGACTCAGTGTGTGTCTTTATCCACAGCCCACATAGTAAAACTGGTCACCTGGCCCAGATACTGCAGGAAAACTCGGTCATTTTGAGACTGGCTTATTGAAATATATAGTTTGTTGGTCTAGGTCCTGAAAAACTGTCAATAATGTAAACAACAAAACCTTTTTTAAAAAGAAACCATGTCTTAGTTGGCCAAGGTATGAGACTGACTGTCAGGATAAAATTCAAACACTGTTTTGTCCTCAGTTCAAGTTTGTAATTCATTACTCTAATCACTGTAGTCAGTAAACTCAAACAACAACCATTTAAGGTACAATAAAAAAGTTGAGTTTAAAATTCAACAGACACCAATTGTGACCCTGGTAAGATGGTCAGGCTCACAGAGGTGGAGCATCAACATAATCAAACAGTTAGCACACACACAGAGGTTGTCAACAAAAGGTTTTCATTTCACTGTAAGAATACCATCTCAACACGTGTGTTTGCAGGGTTTAAACTCCAGGTAGGACACCTGGCTAACATCAGAGCAGCCTGACGCAGCACATGGCAGTGAGCGAGTCTATGGCTGACAAGCTGACAGGAACAGATGTCAGGTGGATACTGAGGGACTCATTTTGTTTACATTGTTGATGGCGTGACTTCACAAGTTTTGAAACTACAGTAACTCTTGACTCATTTTACCACTGCTATAAAAGCAGCGATTGTTTTTCTTGGTCTTGGACTGAGAGTTGATTAGTCACGATTAATCGACTAATGGAATTAATCGTGATTAAGCATAAATATTCCACAGCTGCTCTGTGGTCAATGTGGGAACTGATTTGAATCCATTTAGAGCCCATGCATACTGTATTTGTACAGGTAATCAAGTTGATATTAACATCAATACTACCGTATGTGTTTAAAAAGCTAACCCACATCTGCTAACACCAACAGTACACAAACCAGAGGAACATCTGGAGACAGTTCTCTTCTTGGATATCAGACGCTGATCTGACAATGAGTGTGGATGGGGGAAAACTGGGCTTTTTTATGGTTGGGATGTGTTGTGTTGAACCACATTTTCTGTTTGCTTTTTTCCTACTGATATTAACATAGGGTTCTTAGACAACAAGGTCATAAAATGTGGTGTACCCTGTGTTTTAGACCTTGTGGCAAATAGAGGTTTAGAAAAAAAAACAGAAGAAAAAGGCAGAGAAACATAAAGATGTGTGGCTGCTGACATCACTGTCAACAGGATGATTGAATACTCTGCACTTGTTATCAAGCGCTGCAGCTACAGAAGCCCAAGTCACCCTCCCCCCCCCGTGACACACACGCACGCATACACACACACACACAGATATCTGTCTTCTTCTGTGACGATACACACTACATTGACATAATGTGTTCTCTCTCTGTCCTTTCATTAACATTAATTTTTTTAAATACATTGCTGCTCTATATATTCCAACTCTATTATGATCTAAATTGTAACGTAATCTTCAAACTAAATCTTGAACGTCCATATTCCCCTGAAAAGCCTAATGAAAACAGGGGTTCTCAAGGTTTGTTTTTTTTCTTTAATTATTCTAACTCTAAAACTCTTTGTGCTGGAAATCCATGCATCCATCCATGAAATCCATAAACATGGTAAATATATGTTTACATTAGGTTTTAGTTATAAATAGAAAAACACATATCCCCTTTAATTCTTGTAACCAAAACCTTTAAGCTGTGGTTTTTAAGCAATTGTTTAATAAAAGTTCACTTTTTTTTCTTTTCTGTTTTCATTTCTTATAATTTCCTCTCCCTGTTTTTCAGGTTTGTGTTTTACAAATTCTATTATCACTGTGCTGCACCTTGGTTTCAACGCTGCTATTTTAAATTGAGCTGTGCAAATAAATTGGATTTGGAAAATGTCCAGCTAGGCTTCCGTCCCACACACACACACACACACACCAGTCCAATGTGTTTTTGGGGCGTGTGACTTCATGATGGCTTGTCTATTCCACATACAGTAAGATATCAGGAGGATTCCATGATGAAATGATGTCAACTTTTTAAAAATGAAAATTAGTTTAAAAAAGCGTGAAGGAAAGTTGATTAAAGAAAAACAAACAAACACAAAAGTATGAGAAATGGTTAGTTTTCAACCTGTTGAACTGTAACTAACAGAAACATGACTAAATGTTTTGCTAAAGAAAAAACATCTGAGCAAAATAAGAAAATCACAAAAATTACAAAACATTGAAAGAATGGAAATCTTTAAAATTTTGTCAATTTTAAACAATAAGTTATTTGTACAGAGTATTTCCTGAAAAACAACAACCTGTGTCATTTCATAAGGGCAACAAAAAGTCCTTTAAAGGAAAACTCTGCCACCAATGTTGGAGCACCTATATTTTTAAAACTATTCCTCTGAATTTTTCTACATTTGGCCCACTAGTGACTAGTGACTCGGTCTACAGAGCACATTGTTCAATGACAGTCAAATGAATGTGATGAAAGTCAGAAACCTGTACAAATAGAGCCACTGAACCTCCATCATCCTCACCCTACATATTTCCTCCTCCTTGCTCTCAACTCCCTCTCCTTTTCTTCCCCTCTCTCATACTCCATCCCCCACTGAATGATTCCTTCCATCCTTTTTTTTTTCTTCAAATCCCCTATTTGCTACAAAAGACTTGTGTAATTTTGCCATTACTCATATTATTGGTGGTGGCTGCAGCCCTGAGTCTTGGCTCCATTCCTCGGGAGTAATTGGAAACTGCAGGTGTGAGAGGGCACATTAGCATACTCAAGGCCTGCACTGTGCACTGCCTCGCCTCTAATGGCAGCATAAAAGTACATCTATCACACTAATGCAGAAGAGACAGATGTGTACTGCAGTTACACCACTGAGACCGAAAATCTGATACCCTGTGGAGTTACACAGAGCACGGGCACATGTTCCTTCAAGTGTTCGTGCGTGTGCGTGTGCGTGTGCGTGTGTGAGAGAGAGGGTGAACAACATTTTTAATATATCCACATACATCCATTTTCTTACAAAGGCAGGTGCAGTATATACATAGATCTAAAAACGTTAGCTTATGAAAATATTAAAGCTACTTCTCTATATTCCTCCTTTTTATCTCATCACTCCTGTAAGCTATACTTCATAATTAGAAATTCTTTATAAATTTTCAGTGAACCTAATCCTTTTTTTTCACATGAGGTCACATTTCACTTATTTGACATTTTCTGCGTTTGGAATAAAACTTTTTTTAAGGCCTAAATACATCCCTATTAAAGGTTTCTATTCAAGTTTGGTAAAAAAAAGTGAAAATTGTTCACTCTGATTTTAAATATATATATATACATATACATTATGTCATGCCGTTCTGGAAATAAATCCTTGACTATATATAACTAAAGTCTGAATATATATACAGAAAGTCTGAATGTATGCACAAAAAGTCTGAATATATATAATGATTGTCTGAATATATATACAGAAAGTCTGAATATATATAATGAAAGTCTGAATATATATATAGAGAGAGAAAATCTGAATATAGATACAGAAATCTGATGGCTTTTTGACCCCCAATCGGGGCGGAGCTACGCCTGCTACCACCAGCCAGGCGGTAGCAGCCTCTGTATACAATCTTCTCCAGAAACTCAGGGTTAAATGTGATTATTAATCACATAATGATGTATACATATAAATAACAAGTGAGGTACGTTTCCTTCAGTAAACATCTAACGTTTACAGCAGGTCAGGCACAGTGAGAGTCAGAATATCTCAGAACCATTACATTTCTCCACCGAACTATGTTGTTCGCTGGAGGAAAGTGCAACCTGGATATTCCAATGACAAAGTAATGATACTGAAATTTGTCAAAAGTGCAAAAGCAGCTGCTTTTTTTAGCGCTCAGTGTCACGGTGGTGCCAGAAATGAGACGAATTCAGAGCAGAAAGACCAATTTCTTGCTGGGAGGTGGAAATAATAACACATTTTCCTCTGCGACCTCTTCGTGTTCACAAGTTGAAAGGCAGGCGCACGCACGCACACACACACACACACACACACAAACACACACACACCAAGTTGTGTGTGTTATTACCATATCAACGCACACACAGTTGTGGGTCGCTCTCTGTACCGGGTGAAGTTTGTGTTTTCTCCGAACTGCTTGTTAAACAATGACATCCAGTGAGTGGTCGACCCCCCGCCGAGCCGCTCTCCCTGCAGTTAGGGTGTCGTCGAGGCCACCAACCAGCCGTCAGTCCGACCCCTGCAGAAAGATTGTTGCTGTATCGCAGGGTGACAGGCATCAGCATGTGCACACGTGCACGCTGCACACACCGTGTGAGGGAAAAACATAGACACACAGGTCAGAGAACACGTCAGGGAAGGAGGAAGAGCAGCAGCAGGAAAAGAGAAATGGCTCAGCAGTGAACTTGAAACCCACCATGACTTTCTCACTTTACTCAGGATTAAAAATTTACCAGGGCTTGTGGGCAGACCATTGTCTGCTGGTAAACAGTGAATCGTCATACTTGGAAGATGTGTTCTGTTAATTTACAATAAGTTGGTATTTCTGCTTTGGAAACGTGGAAACGTTACTATCTTACTTAAATGACTTTGCTTTCAACTCTTTCTCCTTCTACCTGGCTAACATGTAAGGTATCATTAAGAAAAAAATAATAATAATAATTATGAGCTAGCTAATGTGTGCAATATATTTATGGCTACTTTTAGCTGCTTCAGTCAGTTTGTTTTCTACCTGTGAACTCATCTTTAAGGGGTTTGTTTGTTTGTGTATTTTACCTGGTCAAGTCTTTTGTTTCCCTCACAGCTACTTATGAGGTTGTTACCTTTAGCAGTTTTGACTAGCGATGCCTTTAAGATCATAGACATTTTAAAATAAACATACTGGTTATGATGTGATGTCTATGTAGGTCCTCAGTCTGTTGGGTCATTTTATCCAAAGCAACTGGACTGTCTTCACCTTTAAGACTTTTCACCTTTCATTCTCACCCAAGAGTCACTTAGAATTGAAGATAATACTTGGACGAGAGGTGAAACATCTTCAAGAAACCAAGACAGTCCAGTTGTATCGTTTCCCTGAGTTGAAGAGGAACTGGTCTGTGCACTTGTTCAATTTTTCAAATGAGAGAGAGGGTCAGAGGTCATGATACTTGTGTGCTGAGAGTCTGTGAGGGATTATTATGGGATTAAGGTTTGTCTCGGTTACCACTGTGAGATGATAATCACAGTGGCTGTGCCTCTGATCTCTGTACAGGGACAGCAGCGTCAATCATACTGAAGACACTCAGAGATGAGTGTGTGTGAGTGTGTGTGTTGGCACACTGGTGGTAGCGTGAACATGTGTGATGGCTTCCTTTTTTTCCACACTTACCAACATGTTGGGCTCACATGTAGAAGCTTTAATCATCTTAAAAGTGAGATTAAGATGACAAAGAGGCCGAGTTTTCTTTCTTTTTTTTGCCTTCCTGACAGCAGATGAGTGAATTTATGTTTTATGGAAATAAAATATGATCCTCTCTCCCTCCTTCCTCCCTCCCTACCAGCAGATGGTCCCTGTGGAGAGAGAGAGAGAGAGAAAGAGAGGGTGATTATCTGGCCCATCTCAGCCAGGGAACCTGAGAGTGTTGATGTTGGGTGGGCAGTAAGGTGCCACGCCAAGCCTCCTGTCCCCAGGAGCCTGAATATGATCCCCTTTACCTGCCCCTGTCTCTGCTCCTCTTCCTCCCTCCCTCCCTCTCTAACGCCGGCTAGACTTACTGCGACTCCCGTCTCCTCCTCCTCTTCTTCCCCCCTGTCTCCACCCTGGGATAGACTTTCCTCCACCTGACAAGGCTTGGCCTGGATTGCAGGAATACCTGGACAGGTGAGTTGACTCAGAAGGTGTCAAGTGCATGTAAGAAAGCGAAATGAAGGCGGCAGGCAGGGTGGAGAGTATATAATACATGGCAACGTAGCACAGGCAGCACAGTATTGTGGTTGGGAACTTCGCAGCACACTTTGTTCTTAAGTCCTCTTTAGTATCGCCATGAATAAATAAGCTGAGGTCACCAGCTCCCTCGATAAAGTCTTGCTCGTTTTGATTTTCAATCTTCCCTCCCTCTTTCTTCATCATACTCACCCCCACCTGCTAATTAGGCCCTGGTTTTTAGTTTCCCTGCCATGTGTGTTATGAGTTTATCAGAGCGGACCCGTCAGACTGCATGGATCACGGGGCAGCGTTGTTGTCCCGAGATCCACGAGGAAAAAAAAAAAACGTGGATCAAAACCTGGGGTAAACTCGAGATTGAAGTTCATTTTGTTTTAATCCTTTTAAAAATGCAGCCTAAAAAAGTTCACTGATGCTTTCATTATTTTTACATTACATCCTAAATTGGAACATTGTCAGTTTCAATAAAAGGTATATTTTAATGTCAGGAGGAGCTCAGTATATCAGTACTTTATCAGTATAAAGTACCAACACTTAATTTCTTTGAGGTATAACACAAACACATTTATTTTAAGAATGCAAACAAAGATAGAGTTATTCCCAAAACTTTACATAAATAAATGTATAATAGTGTGTAAGCCCTCTGCCCTCTGTCTGTATTCTCTCTTTCTTTGCTAATACTCAGGCTGTTTCTGGTTTGAAAAATCAATGCCAAAATGAATGAACTGCAGTGGAACCTCGGAGTTTGAAAAGTTCAAAAACTCAACGCTCAGATGTCCCTCGTGTTTTGAAAGCAAATCTTGACAAGTTCAAGAAGCCAGTATTAGAATGGACAGTGATGAAAACCAAAGGCTGTATTATTGGACTATTGGATTATTCACAAACAAAATCAGGTGTCAAACATTCCAACACTACAGAACAAATGTACAGAACAAAATTCTAAAATCTTCTCCTGATCCATGTCTATCTAGTAATGGTCTTCTATAATCGTTGCCACTTCATCTGCAAAAATTCTCTGATGAAGATCATTGCCACCCAAAGAGCCACCACTGAATTTCTCCAAATGTATTTCATTCATGGTTGCTACAACACCACAATTAATAAAATCACTTCAACAGATTTTTAATGAAACACTCTCCCGAGTAAATAGGAGGAATCCCCTCTCATCTGCCTCTGCTCTTCTCTCCACTGTGTAATATCTAGTCTACGTGTAACAGCCTGTCATGATGTGATCTTTTCCAATCATCTCGAGCCTCATGAAGGTTTATTTATTTTTCAAGTTTATTTTTTAATATAAAAATGAGTCAAATACTGTTTTTATGTCCTGTAATGTCATCTGTCAATAGTTTAGTATGACAGACATGTAGATCAAAGTGTAAGCTGAATATTTTAAATAAGTGTTACAAGAAATGAAAGTTGTTTTTTTTTTCAAAAAATTCCATTTCTTGTTTTGTAGAGAGTTAAATTATCTGCTTTTTTAAATGCTTTGCCTCTTGAGCGAAATGTTTGTTCCAAATTCTCCATTTAATTAAAAAATAATTAGTAACTTATTTCCACGCATTCGTTAGTTTCCACTTCATTTGTGTGCAAGGACAGAAAACAAATGAACTGCCCTTGAGGTCTGAGTGACATCTGAATGGAATAGACTGAAATCTAACAGGTTCAAGAACCTCTTCTCTCCTGATGACTGTTCAACTAAATATTGATAATTAAAAAAAAACACCTTTGTCATTCAGGAGACAGGTGATGATGGAAAAAAATGATTCAGTTTTATGTCAGATTGTCTAATTCATATATATGTATTTATTTCTATTATTATAGGAAGTGATATCGTTTTCTATCAAAGCGTTCTAAATTAATTTAGATGTATACAGATATATGTATGAATATATACTACATACATACAAACATAATGACAATAATATAAAGTATAAAAATATACTAAAGCACCAAGTGTAGGTGTACTTTGTTTAGATGTTTACTAAAAAAACCATGGAGAAGAACCAACAAGAACATCAACATGTTTCCAAGCGTCAAGATCTGGAGTGAAAAGTTGCATTAAGTACTTTAAAAAAACTACCAACAGAAGTCAACACAGCAGCTTTTTTCTATGTAGAACTGTTGAAAGATTTCAACAAGATTTCAAGATGGGAGACTGATAAAGGATGTGTCTCAGGATTTTAGATGACTGACAAGACACTGGTTCATGATTGAAAAACTGGAATAAAACTGAAAAAAAAAGCCAAAACAAACAAACAAACAAAAAGTTACAGCCACAACAGTTCTGAACAGGACTAAACTAAAGACAACCTCTGGAGCATTTGCATACATTTACAGATAGACAGACAGACGGACGGATAGACGGACAGATAGACGAACGGATGAACGGATAGATGGACGGATAGATGGATAAAACAAAAAGTATAACCATGACAGTAACCCAAAAACTGTCGACATACCTCCATCACGGCAAGTGTTTACATTACTGCAGAGCCTGAGACCATGTTAGCTGAAAAAGATAAATTTGAATAATACAATTATTTAATATATAAAAGTATATAAATATATATGAATATATATAAATAAATAAATACAATATATATGAATATATATATGAAAGTTAATATAAAGTCAACAACTGAAGCTGGTGTTTCCATAAATGCGTACTTCTGTCTCACTGCAGCCCAAACTAACATACAGTTTGTCTGGACATGTCGTACAAGATGTTTCTATAGATTATACTTATCGAACAGTTTTGCAGATGCTGAGGATGCAGAAAATCCTACCCCAGAGTTTTCAATATATTTTTCCTACAACACGATATGACTGTCACATGCTTTTATATGACATGTATCAAACCTTCAGCTTCCTATACTGTATTTATTCTAGAAGAAACATGATGCCAGGATAAAGTGGTGGAAAGAAACACGAAGTAGGGCCACTAATAATGTCAATAGAAATTTCAACAGTCAAACTTGAAAACCTCCAGTGGTCAAGCTGTGAGGAAAAAGCTGCACCTGGTAATTGCTGCAACACCCACTGACCCCTGTGCTCGGTGCACTGGCACACGGCCCCTTGACTGGAAGAAAATTGCCTGATAGTTAGGGCAGTATTGTTTCAGTGATCGCGGTGAGCACTGCCGTTGCCTGGCCCTGGGTGGCATCATTAACACAGCCTGGAGTAACACGTTTAAATCAGATGGCATTGTCACAGGTGTAACAACTATTGTTCGTGCATGTGATTAATGTTCCCGTCGTTTGATTAATTTCCTGACGTGGGCTGAGAAGCTGCTCACTTTGGTGATTAATGAACCTGCACCTCTAATAGAATGGTGAGAGTTTTTTTTTGGTTGTGTATTTGGTGTGTGTGTTGTGTGTGTGTTTGTGTGTGTGTTGTGTGCTTCTCTCTCTCTCTCTCTCTCTCCCCCTCTTGCTGGCTTTTATAATGGCATGCAGCATCTTTCAGATCCCAGTTCAGTCAATGGTCACAGCCGGAGGACACGTTCGGAGGAAATTGGACACAACATGTGGATGCTCCACTTCTTTAAAGCAAAGACTTTGGCTCACAGCAGAGGCATGACAGTGACACTACATTAGATCGCTACAGTAAACCTGGAAACAAAGAGGGGAAAGATTAGAAGCTGGCACAGTGTGAGGATGTAAAGTTAGTGGGAGGCTGATACTTAAATCCACACGCAGTGACGCAGCTCAGGTCCCATGCGTCTAAGCTTCTATGTGGGCCTGAGGGCTGGGAAGGGTGTGACCAGGATGTTGAGGAAAAACCAGACTTGTGTTCAGCTATTTAGTAGCACACATCTGTCGTCCAGGAACACAGAATACAGGATCTAATCAAAAAGTTTACTAAAAAAGTGAAATATTTCAGTTGGCTAAAGGAATTATTTACTAAGTTAAATAACAAAAGTTAGCTCAAAAAGTTAGTTAACGAGCCAATCCCAGAGAAGATGCAGAAACAGATAAGAATAACCAAAGGTCACACGCATAGAAAATACCCACTGAACGGAAGGTTTTCTGAATAAAATGTATCCATTAGTACTCAGTTGTTACTCATCAATCAATACACAGCTTTAAAAGCAGACAGTGTTCCTACACAGTGGTAGAGCCTCCAGATTAAATAACAACCTTAGTAAACACACACTCACACACACACACGAGACATTACATTACATTTAGAGCTGTCAGCCACAAATAGCCACACAATAAAGAGGTCACCATCAAAAAAGAGTGAGGTTAGGAACTGATAACCACAAAGCTCAGTAGTTAGCTAAATTAATTGTACCATGTCATTAACAAATAAAACCATTTTCACCACAAACTTGTTCAAATGAAGCTATAGCACAGTACCAGCTTTGGGCCGTGTATGTGGCCCAGATTCTGGTCACTAGAGTTACCAGGGCCAGAGAACTGTGTTGTAATGTAAGGCTCAATTGTTTGTCAATCAGTTGTATGGCACAGTAAAATAAACCACACACTGAGAAGGACATTTCAATGACATGAGCAGCCTCAGAGTGAAATTTCTGGAAAAGCAAAAAAAAAAAAAAGGTTAATCTGAAATTACAAAAGGACTCAAAGTTAAATGAATCAATGAGTCAAGAGTTTTAAAAGAACTGACTGTTGTCTCTATGTTGGGGCAAAGTTCCAAGAAAATCCATTGGAATATGAATTGAAGCATTTAGCAATGTTAGCAGTAGGATCTGTAAAAGTTTGGGGCTGAATTTCACTAAAAGACAAAGTGAAAAAATGGTTTAGTGTCAAGACAAAAGTGTTCTCAAGAACAGTTTTGGGATGACCATTCCTCCCTCTCCTGGGATTAACTAACAGATTTCTAGGTATATCTAGATCAGTTCAGTCAATGGTCACAGCCGGAGGACACGTTCGGAGGAAATTGGACACAACATGTGGATGCTCCACTTCTTTAAAGCAAAGACTTTGGCTCACAGCAGAGGCATGACAGTGACACTACATTAGATCGCTACAGTAAACCTGGAAACAAAGAGGGGAAAGATTAGAAGCTGGCACAGTGTGAGGATGTAAAGTTAGTGGGAGGCTGATACTTAAATCCACACGCAGTGACGCAGCTCAGGTCCCATGCGTCTAAGCTTCTATGTGGGCCTGAGGGCTGGGAAGGGTGTGACCAGGATGTTGAGGAAAAACCAGACTTGTGTTCAGCTATTTAGTAGCACACATCTGTCGTCCAGGAACACAGAATACAGGATCTAATCAAAAAGTTTACTAAAAAAGTGAAATATTTCAGTTGGCTAAAGGAATTATTTACTAAGTTAAATAACAAAAGTTAGCTCAAAAAGTTAGTTAACGAGCCAATCCCAGAGAAGATCCAGAAACAGATAAGAATAACCAAAGGTCACACGCATAGAAAATACCCACTGAACGGAAGGTTTTCTGAATAAAATGTATCCATTAGTACTCAGTTGTTACTCATCAATCAATACACAGCTTTAAAAGCAGACAGTGTTCCTACACAGTGGTAGAGCCTCCAGATTAAATAACAACCTTAGTAAACACACACTCACACACACACACGAGACATTACATTACATTTAGAGCTGTCAGTCACAAATAGCCACACAATAAAGAGGTCACCATCAAAAAAGAGTGAGGTTAGGAACTGATAACCACAAAGCTCAGTAGTTAGCTAAATTAATTGTACCATGTCATTAACAAATAAAACCATTTTCACCACAAACTTGTTCAAATGAAGCTATAGCACAGTACCAGCTTTGGGCCGTGTATGTGGCCCAGATTCTGGTCACTAGAGTTACCAGGGCCAGAGAACTGTGTTGTAATGTAAGGCTCAATTGTTTGTCAATCAGTTGTATGGCACAGTAAAATAAACCACACACTGAGAAGGACATTTCAATGACATGAGCAGCCTCAGAGTGACATTTCTGGAAAAGAAAAAAAAAAAAAGGTTAATCTGAAATTACAAAAGGACTCAAAGTTAAATGAATCAATGAGTCAAGAGTTTTAAAAGAACTGACTGTTGTCTCTATGTTGGGGCAAAGTTCCAAGAAAATCCATTGGAATATGAATTGAAGCATTTAGCAATGTTAGCAGTAGGATCTGTAAAAGTTTGGGGCTGAATTTCACTAAAAGACAAAGTGAAAAAATGGTTTAGTGTCAAGACAAAAGTGTTCTCAAGAACAGTTTTGGGATGACCATTCCTCCCTCTCCTGGGATTAACTAACAGATTTCTAGGTATATCTAGATCTATATATATTTATATATAAATATATATAAAACACTGGATGTATGGGTACTGATGTATGTGTTGACAAAGAACACTGCGGTCTGTAATTAGCTGCTTGACCCCAGGGTTGGCTTGTGTGACCCCGGCAGCCGTGAAGCGCAGCTCAGGCCTGATCAGATGAGTAGTTCTGAGGGATCAGTGGTTGAAAGACGGCCGCCTCCTCACCTCAGCCAACTCAGTCACAGTAACCTGTGTGGCTGAGGCGGGCATGGTTACAGGAGGAGCCCAGCTGCTGCGGCCCAACAGCCGAGTGACAAACACCTGTGTGTCCGGCACAGTGTGTACAGCACAGCACAGACGTACACAGACAGACTTTTTCTACATCCACAGACGTAGATGCAGCTGCAAAACACCCCAAACTGCCACCGCTGAAGGAGAGCAGGGTAGAAAGGGAGGGGGCCTGGAGGGTAACCTGAGCCAGGTGTAAAGGGAAGGTGGGGGGGGAGGAAAAAGGGAGAGAGGGAGGGGATGGGAGGTGATGGAGGAGCAGCGCTGGCCCGTGGTCAAGTGCCTTGTATTCCACAAACACGACGCATCCAGTTACACTCTACCTGAGACGCTGAGCCTCAGGAGAGGATTCAAAGAAAAGCAGGAGAGGAGCCTCCTCCCTCTGTCTCTCCTTCCTACCACTGGGACTCCCTCAATCTTCTCCCCTGATAGAGATTTTGTCTTTCAGAAAATATTTGGTTGTCTGAATTAATTTAGGTCTAAAAAAAAACAGCAGTTTATGCAGTAAACCTCTGAAAATTATGACCTCAGATTTAATGAATTACTTTCTTTTTTGTCAGTGTTCTGAGACTAGAACCATGGTTCTTACATCCTGCTGTCAAAATCTAACTTCCAAACATCTAGGACAGAATTCTATTTTTCACCAGAATATCATAAATTAAAGAATTAAAAATGAATAATACATTTGTATTTAAAGACATAATTCTGCAAAAAACGATAAAGAAAAACTGCACATCTTTGATCTGAATTAACTGGACATTACAAAACAGAATTCTGACCAAAAAACTGCATTTTTACTAATATTTATAGGGATAACAGAAAAACAGTGTAGTCTAGATTTGATCTGAATTCTCAGACAAAAGCAAATGAAGTTCAAAGGTCACTGTGGATGTTGTTCTCCCCCTCCTCAGCCCAGGAAACGATGAAACCTGTGCAGCGCGGTGGCAGAGACAGCGGCAGCAGACAGGTCGGTCGCTGGTGAACCGCAGCTCAGCT